CGAATATTTCGAAAGCATATGCACCATTTCGAATCACGATTACGGTTAAATTAGATATTATCTTAAGTAAAGCGATCGGTAAACAACCAAGTATCAAAATACCTAAAAGTAGGAAGTCTCTAAGCCCACCACTCAACAGTTCTCAACCGACTGGTGAAACGCGCTCTAAAAACAAACGTAGCAAAAGCAACTAAGAACCATCTCAACCAGCTACTTCTGCTTTCAACGCAAACTTTCGAAAGTGTTTCCTTAAAGGTCGAACATCCCTCGTCTCTTCGTTCCGTTTCCGCTAGACGCGCGACTCGTTCCGCTCGACCGTAAGTCTGGCTTTTAACTCGTTCCACCGGTGAAATAATCGCAGCAAGAATTTCTATTAGGGAAGTTCCACCGCGGATTAAGAGGGGTTATCAGTGAAGAAGAAGAGGGAAAAAAAAAAAGAAAAAAAAGGAAGAGAGAAACCGGATCATCCATTCGAAAGTCGGTCTGATCGAAAACTAATTAATTAGCAATGAACCAGACGATGTCGATGGAATCTTTGCTTGTAAAGCTATGAGAGATTCGCGCGATTCCTTTCTCTTTACGGATTAAAAGTTTTCACGATCGAAACGTCAATGGGGGAGGAACTGATCGAGCTTCCGGGCGGAATTCGAAAATTGCTCGATCGCCATTGTTGAAAACTAATTTTCCTAATTTTCTTTTTCCTTTTCATTTGTTGGATGGTTAATGAGATGAGGCGAGAACAATCAAACGAATTTGATTTTTATTATATTTTCCAATCTCATTAATAGAAGAAAATATTCCTTTTTTTTTCTTAGGAGAAGAAATATTCTTTTTAAATGTTTCTGCTTAATATAGATTTTTTAAACAAAATATTCGTTTTCATACAAAGTTGTTATCTTTAATTATATAGGAAGAATATATTTTATCTAATCATAAAATTGTAAAAATCTCTTGATCGACATTGATACCAGAGTTATCAATTTGAAATATTTAAAAAATTTTGCCTAATGTATTTTTAATTTTTTGTATATCTATATTTGATCAAACCAATGTACATATGATACATACACATATATATATAGTTTGTCGAATTTTTATTTTCTATTTGTACTACAACTAATTAAATAATATCAAAATAATTACAATCATAATCTAAATCGATTTCAAAATTGTAATTAAAGGAAAAGGAAATCTTTTTCTATGTGAAAAACTATCTTCATATTTCCAAGAATTTTCGTTTATTAAAATTTTTTTATCATCAATTTAATTAGTTTTTTATCAGATATATATATTAATAACGTATGAACAATAAATTATTGTGATAACATTACGAGAAATCTTATTATTATATTGCTATTGTTCAATGAAAAAATTTGGATATCGTTAACAAAAGATTAAAACGATATATTAAGGGATTAAGAAAGATACAATTGTTCGGTATTAGTTGTTCTCGCTTGTAAAACATATTACTGTCTTTGCGTGAACCATCTTTGATCGATTGATAAACGAAAATCTGTTTCTTCTCGAGGATAAGGATAAGGATAAGCTTTTGAAGAAATCTAGATCCGTTCGTTTTGCTCCTTTTCTTGGATACCATTATGGTAATTAAATCTGGTGAACTACACTAGACACGGAACACCTGTGGAAATGTAATGAACGATAATCACGTTCGGTGTTTCAGTAATAGCGGAAGATAAGAAGAAAAGATGGCGTAAAAGATGTTAGAGAGATAGAAAGCTAAAATTAAGCTTAAGAATCCTAAGAGATAGAGTTGGTATAATTTAGTCGAAGCTTTGAAACATTGTAAAAACAATTAATTAAAATATCCAAAGAAACAAAGACTACGTATTTAATTCCAATCATCCAAGACTTTTATCCGCGAAAATGTTGAAATCAATGTTTCTTTTTCATCAAAACGAATAAAATAAGATAAATAAAGTGATATGCCAGCCAATATTGGTGAATCAATGAGATTTTTATCTGCAAGAAATGTTGAAATCGATGTTAATTGATGTTTTATCGAGGGAAAAAAAAAATGTAACGTCCGATCGAGATGGTTAATAAAAAAAACATAAGTAATTTTGCTCGAGTCGCAATTTCGAGATTTAATGACAAAGTGAACAACAAAGTTCCCAAAGTGGACAAATTATACAATTGACTTTTAGAATTGTTACGAACTAATACCCACCGGTGTGACACGGTTCCCCTTTATTCCATTTGAATCCTGAATTCTCGATGTTTAATCGCGGGACAAGCGATCCATATATTTGCTGACAAAATGTGTAAATCAACGTGTGCAATTAGCCTTCAAATTCTAACGATCGGTCGCAAACGCGCGATCGGTCCCCGGTTGCTAATAATATGCAGTTACGATTGTAAATTTAGACGAATTAGACTGATGTTTGAAGAAGATTTACAATAATTAATCGTTCTAATAAATTCGTATCGAAGGGTTAATTCTGCGAAAATTTTTTTAAATCATCGCGAAAGTTTGTGAAATATTAAAATTAACATGTATTTATTTGGATTCCATTGTCTTGTAATTAATTATATTCATAAAGATACGATGAATCTTTTTGTATAAATATCTAGAATATAATTAATTCCGTTTATATAGAAATTATTTAACAACGTTTTTCTGATTCTGTTCTGAAATCGACAATTTATAATTTACAGGATTTATTATCCGAATTGTATTAAATTTTAATAAAAATACGCTTATAACGCAATTGATATGATAATATAAAAAATGATTCCTATTATAAAATTAGATATTTCTCTTTCAACTGCCAAATTGCGCACATTTTTTAGCATAAGTATAAAATAATATAAAATTTGCAAGTAATTGTCCATTTTATCCATTTGTTTTTTAATGGCAATGCTTGTATATTTTCAAATGTTATATACTTTTGCAAATTTTATATTCTCACTTTCTAATTTCTTAAGTATTTCCAATTTTATTTCAATATTTAAAACATTATGAACGTTTAACATCGATTTCAAATTAAAAGTTTATTTCTACTGTGGGAAAAGACATGTACATTGTTAAGAGACAGTATAATCAATCAGTGGTATTATTATAGTCTTTTAACAAGAGCATATAGATTTTTAAAAATTTTAATCATCGATATTACTAATATAATAGTTTTCTTTAATTAACCTGGTTTTTTGATTACAAGCGATTTATTCGTTATTTTATCAATGCATATTCGACGTCGAATTACTAAAAAGAAATAATTATAAAAGAACAAGAAAAAAATGTACGCGATATATATATCAAAGTCAAAATTCGCTTTAAATTAAAATTGCACTTCAGTTGTTGAAGTAAGATCACTTTAATCTGTTTTGAGAGCATGAAACCGTTTGATGTTCACACGTTCTCTTTGACATACAAGTAAGAGATTCGTAACGAAAGTTCATCGTGAAGTGTTAAAAAGAAAATTTAATACTGAATTTTGTGTTAATTCAGATGGAATAAACTCTATCTTTCTATATGAATGTACGTAGATATTAACAAAGACATCGATATAAACCTATTTAATATTTTTTTATTATTTGGTATCACATAATTTTTACAGAATATCTATAGTTTTGTTTCTCTTCTTACTTGCATCTTACTTTTTATCACATATTCATATCAATTCAATTCATATTAAAAGTATAAACTCTAGAAGAATCTAATATAACATTCTAATGTAAGATAATGGAAAATATTTCAGATAAACGTATTAGAAACTTCAAATTTGAAATTTCTAAAAAATTTTTTGAAACTTAGTAAAAAATGACGAAAATTAAAAACAAAATCTCTTCTTTATATTTCTTCTTGTTCGTTAGAGTTTCTTTAATTATTAGAGTTTCTAATTAATAACTTACGAAAAAAAAAAGAAAGGATAAAAAAAAAATAGAAGGAAAATTTTCTATCAATTTTAATTTTCAATTTTTTCAGCAATCTATCAAGAAAAAACTCATCAGAAAATGCACACAGGTATATGTTGTAGCGAAATCATTGAAAATTTCTTATCGAGAAAAGCATTGAAAAAAATCCTATCATATTTTTTGCGTATTATCAGACATCTTTTATTTCGCGATATCGTTTGCCTATAAAATGCTTCTTCTATGCGTTTTGCATTCTATTTCTTAGTGTGATATCAAGATGTTTCGATATATTGTAGTTATTTTTTTCTTCACCGAATCCTTCGGTAAGTAGAAGTAAAAGTGATTTTTTTATTTTTTCTATACGATTGTCGAAAAATATTATACACAATAAAGAATATTAATCAAAAATTTTACATTTTTTTGAATTTTCGTCGTTCAATTCTAATATTCAAAGTTCAATAACTTGGCGAAAAGAATCGTACGTTTTGAAGGATCATTACAAAAAGAAGATTTAAGATTTAAATTTTCTTGTAGATTCAGTCATGAAAATAATTTTTCAATGTTTTTCAAATTTTTATGAAGAAAAATATATCTTTTCTATTTGTTACATGATATAAAAATATCTTTGGAAAAATCGAATTCAGGATTATGAAAAATTTCACAATTTAAAATAAGATTGATTCGATATTTTATTTGAAATAAGATCATACGATATTTTTTTTACAAAATTATAATAATTTAAAATATAGATAATTTTTCATCGGATATTGATTCATTTATAAATAATTCTACTCCGATTTTTATTATAATTTGTTAATTTTAAAAGAAATGCGAGCTAATTAAAATTAAACATTGGATTGAAATTTTAAAAGTGCTTTGAAAAAATATCAGGTCATTTTCTTTATTTTATATTAATTTACTATCATAAACTTCATAACGAAAATACACTTTTTTTAATCTATGTAGAGATACATATAGTTGCTGTGTGTAACAAAAGAACGAAATAGAAAAGAATAAATTGATAAATTTTGAAATTTTAAAATTGTTTTTCTAAAACATTTTTATTTGGCGATTTTGAAACGATCGATCGATATTAAAAGTATCTTATTGTATTAATTTGATAGGTTACAGGTTATTTCCACCAGACCCTCAAATCGTCGGAGGAACCGAGGCCGAGATAAGTCAACATCCTTACCAGCTCAGTTTACAAACTACCGGCCACATTTGTGGTGCTTCAGTGCTCAGTTCTCAATGGGTCATCACTGCGGCTCATTGTGTGACGTAATAACAAATACGAAAAGTTAACAGTGTTAAGAAATTTGTGAATATCAGTGAATATTTATAATTTTGCATTACTTTACTGGTATATAGATCTTTTAATAACTCATATTAAAATTCATTATTCAAAATTATTATATATATTGTGAGAAGCAATGAGATCTTGTTTTAATATTATAGTTTTATGAAATTCTATTTATATAAATTTTATTTTCGATATTTTGTAAAATCGAAATATTTACAAAAAAGAGAAAATTGAACAGAATTTTATAAAAGAATAACACAACATTGCTATCGCAAGTATTAAAATAATCCAGAATTCAAAGTTCTTTTATGAACATTTATTTGCATTCCGCACAAAGAAAATACTTTTGATAGTGTTAATTTTTATTCAGTATAATTTTTCTTTCTGACTATACAAATGACATCTGTAACTCAAATATGAGTCAAAAATGATTTTTAGTCGACGATTCGAGAATTAATAATCGATAATTATATTTCAAAATATTTTATTATAATTGTGACACGTTAAACTTTTATAATCATTTTTCAAATTCTCTTTCGAATAATTGAATCTCGTTAGATATCATATATATTGTCATCTAGGGATCGGAATGTTTATTGATTCACGATTATAATTATAAAAATTACCGCGATATTAAATTGGTCTTGTGGCTCGCATTCCATCCCGATTTCCATTATGTAATAATAATAAGATCGTTAAACACGATACGCATATTTATTATTAATGTGCATTTCGTGTATGAAGAAAATGTATATAGAAAATACTACAAATCATTGACATTTTGATTTGTTTCATCAATTACAGATCATCATCTGCTAACCGATACAGCCTACGAGCAGGTAGCAACTATAAAAATCAAGGCACTCGCTACACCGTAAAAAGGGTCATTGTACATCCTAAATATAATTCTAAAACTATTGACTACGATGTGGCTGTTTTAGAGGTATGTGAAAAATAAGACATATGATAATATTATAATAGCAATATTAATATGTCTTTAATATTTATAATGTATTTATACGATATATTATATGATAATATAATATTTTTAAAATCTAATGTAATAATATAACTTTTTGTTTTAATTTTTAGTTTTAGAATTTATTATATTTATTTTTAAGAAATATTTTAAGATTTTACTGTTTGAGAGTTCTCAGATTTGTTTATTAATTTAAACGATATATTTTAAATATTTTTTCATGCTTAAAATGTATTTTAAGAAGTGAGGATCGCCGCATAATTCAGTGTTAATATTTAAATTTTAAATTATAATATGATATTCGAAAGGAAAATTAATTTAATATTATCCTTTTGTGTACTCTCATTAAAAAGAAAAGGCACATGATGATGTATAATATTCTACATTAATGTCGTGTATTAATATATGTAAATATATATATATATATATAATTTCCGAACATATCACAATTAAAAGTATTTGTTTGTGATTAAATTATGAAGACAATTATGAATGAAATTAGTTTAATAATGCATGCATGCATTGCTTATCTTAATATTTCTCTATTTATCGTTCATCTAGAGAAAAAATTAAAAATATCAATCATCCGATATTAATAATGCTGATAATTTATACGATAATTTATAATTATAATCTTATCTCTACAATGACATCAGTAATAAAATACAATATTTTAATGTTAAAAAATTTTTTCAATCATGTGCCATATATCACTTTAATTATATAAAAGAACGACAAAGAAGTTGAAGTTGAAATTAATGGAAATTTTGAAATTACGAAAATTCTGATCCAGATTAATGGTAGCATACAATTGAATTCAAATGTCCAACCTGTAAAACTCGCCACCTCAGAACCAAATGCTGGAACGATGGTGACCGTAACTGGCTGGGGCGCAATTAAGGTAAATGAGTCATTTTATCATTATTTTATTTTATCTCGAACATATCGAAAACAGATAAAACACATTTTTACTTGAAAAATTATTTACGATTTGTCAATCAGTTGAGAAATTTAATCGCAAATTTTAATCCCAAATTCCTTATTCCAGCTTTTAATTTACTTTCATACAACTTTATTACTCAATATTTAATTTATAATATGAAATATTATGTGAATTATATTGGAGTTACAATCCATTTTTTAATGAATGGACGTCGTATTTTTTATTTTAAAATTCAATAAAATTCATTTCTCAAAACTCATATACGATATCTATTACAGCAAGGTGGATCGACTTCGACACATTTGATGAAAGTATCGATTCCCATAGTAAGCAGATCTCAATGCCAAGCTGCTTACAAGAATTACAATACAATCACCGATAGGATGGTATGCGCCGGTTATACCGAAGGTGGAAAGGATTCTTGTCAAGGTGATTCTGGTGGTCCTATGGTGGCTAGAGGAACCCTCTACGGTATCGTGTCATGGGGCTATGGATGTGCTCAGCCAAAATATCCTGGCGTTTATACGAACGTGGCTAATCTTGTATCTTGGATTAAGAGTAACACTGGTATATAAATATGATATATTATAATATTTTTATTCCGATATAATTGTAATATGTATAATAATTGTAATTATAATAAATAATTATAATTGCAAAGAAATAACGAATGTTTTACATTCAATGTAGCATTTTATTTGTAATCCTTCATCTCCTTTGTATCATTAAAAATGTGAAATATATTGTGAGTAAATATTATTCATGAAATTTTTATCAATTGTCAGTATTCAATTATTGACAATTATATTTGTATAAAGAAATAAGAAATGCTGGAATATTCATCAATTTATGAATAACATTAATAATCGTGTTTTAGATATTGCTTAACTTTGGCTGGCACATTTTTTCACACAACAAATATTATTCGGTGTAATTGCAGTTGTCAAGTTATAGAAATAATTTGTCATGATTATAAAGCAGAGACAATAGAGATAGTTTCGTAAAAGATGAATTCGATATTTTGACGACGGATTAACGATACGATATTTCTTTAATCGTGAACTGATTTTTACGTCTGGCTACATTTGATACCGCAATTTGATATACCGCAAACTTTCTCCAACAATTTATCCAGGTGAATAACTCAGATCGAAGTAACTATTACTTTGATTTGTTTCCACATTGAAATTCTTTGAAATATCGTTCTATCTTCTTACTTTATTAACTTTCAATTTCTAATATCATTTGTTAGAAAAGTATATCACGAATATTATTATAATGAAAAATGGAAAATTATAAAATTATATTCGAGAAGTAATTTCGAAGATTCTTCGAAATAATATCGTGAATAAAACGAAAAAAAAAAAAAATTGTTTTAATCAATTCTTTAATCCTCTATAATCTTCTAAATCTTTTAATTTAATTTAATCAAAATGAAAATAATGTGTGAAGATAATTAATCTTTGATGATAAAATTAAACAACTATAAATAACTGTCACATCATTTTAAAATTCTGCAATTTATAGCTTTTCTTCTATCTAATCTTCTTTTATCTTTAATTAAGAAGCAATATCAATATTTAAAACAATTTCAATGACACATAGATACACTATTTTTATAATATCTAATAATCTTTAATTTTTAATTTTAGTCGATTGACTAACTGAAAAGAAAACTTGAAAAGGTATACCGAGAATGATCGAAGGCAGAGACGAATTACGTATACAAGAAATACGTTTTATCAAATACGCCGGATCGATTAGTTGCGAATTGCTTCAAATTGGACTATATGACTAATCTTGACACGATTGTTCCATTATTTCGGTCTCGATACGATATCGCTAATCGTAATCTCGTTTGAACTCGATGAAACCTTTTTTTTTTTAATCCGAAACTCCTGAAAATTCCCTTCTTTCTTTCTTTCTTTTTTTTTTTTCATCGAATTTATCGAGATACGTGAAATGAATTCCTTTGAAGTTCACGCGATGACACACCTTCGACAGTGGATAATGATCGATTGTGGTTATCAACGAAATATTTGGACTGTGCATAGGTATATATCGACAACTTTTGACCTGGTTCCACCTTCGATAATTCAACCAGTTAGTTGTTGATTCCCGTCGATCGATGTTGGAAATGGAATTAAGAAAATATTACTTTTATTTTCCGTTTTTTTCGCGGATGGTAAGTTTTTTGTTGGTAATATTTGAAAGATTATTTTAAAATCGTATTATAATATTAGTTTCACGAAAAAAAAAAATTATTTTGATTTGTGTGTGCAGTTCTCGCGTCCGAAAATTTGAAATATGTGAACATCACGGATTATCCTTATCACGTAAGTTGATGCATTGCAGAAATTTAAAGTTTATCGTTTATAAGAAATAAGAATTAAAATTAACAAGAAAAGATTGCATTATAAATCATATAAAAAAATTGGATTAATTTCATTATGCAAGCGAATCTATGATCATTCATAGAGAAATCTAAATATATTAATAGTTTTATTAGCAGAAATAAAAAATTAGAGAACAGATTTTTTTTATTATACAACAGAATATTGTTCTTTGGCTCGTAAATAAATCTATTCTAATACATAGTTGAATTAATTCTAAATTAATATCTATCAATATCTAATTTTTTAACAATTAAACCATTTTCCAATCCTTAATTGCATCAATTTTACAATAAACGAAATCATCGCTGCGATCAACAGTTAAGTGAGCATTTCTTCCATTCACCTAATCTACTAACTCGAAATTTCCGCAGAAAAACATTTATATCAATGAATTTCAATCCTTTTCAAAAAAAAAAAAATAAAAACATCGTAAGATCTATCATCTTTGCACAAAATGAAACGAAGCCAATGATTGAAATTACACTTTTAGAATATAGAATATTATGTAGGATATGAAGATTGTTATTCGTAATCGTTCAATTTTCTAAATATATATTTTTACACACGCTAAACTGAACACGCTATTTTTCTCGCGATTGTTCATCGTACGATATAGGTATCCATCGAGAAATATGGGGTACACACGTGCAGCGGAGCGTTGGTGCACGAATTGTGGGTAATAACCGCGGCGTCCTGCGTTTTTCAGTGAGTATCGGCTGCGAAATTCCGTGCAACTTCGTACAAATTGCGTATCCACGCGAACAACATGAATAACGAAACGTTGTAATTGCTTACAGGGCAGACCTGTCCACGGTAACCGTGCGAGTGCGCTCGTCCATGCTTTCAACCGATGGAGATCAATTGGAAGTGGGCAATATCGTTGTGCATCAGGATTTTGATAAATACGTTCTGCTCAATGATATCGCGCTAATCAAGGTACGAGATAGCTTTAAAATTTCGGATTTTTTTCGAATAGAATAGATTTTAAATTCAGGCGATAGATAAGATTACAGGTAATTTAATTTTTAATTTGGGATATATAAAATAATTTTTTCTTGTAAAATATCGTTTGATTAAAAATTATTGATCTGATTTTGAGAAATTTTAGAAAAAAATTGGGAGACGTGTCCTAAGATTTCTGAATTTTCAGAAATCTAAATATTGTTTTTCAAAATATTATTTTTAATAATCGTATTTCAATGCATTTTAATATTCGTAGCAATCAAAAGTGTAATCAACCGAAAAATATATAAACGCTTTCGTATGATAAAAAAAAAAAGAGAGAGTAAAAAAAGATATTAGCGAGATAGAAAAATTGAAAAAATGTGTGTTATTGAACAAATTGCTATTATTTTGATCGATAAATATTTCCATTCTGACTAAATATTTTCATGAAATATATCTTTTCATCAAAAATACATTTACAAAAGACTATTCCGAAAATTTTCTTATATTTCCATCTTTTTTTTTTTTATTCCGTTTGATCAATGTTCTTGGTAATTTTCAATTGAATAACTCTTTTACAAACAGATTGTATCGCTATCAAATGTATTAATAACTTGTTACAAAGAGGAATTCGCAAAAATGAAAGCTTTGGTGAACATGGGAAAAATTCAATAAACGTTCCGCCGATGATGTATCATTGGGGAGTTGAACTCGACGCGTATCGATAGCGTGCACGACGTTAATTCCCGAAATTATCGTTGAAATGTAAAAGATAAATTTTGCGGAAGAATTTATGTTCGTAAAAAACAAAAAAATATCATTTTGAACAAAATATTTGAAAGAAAATATTTCATTAAAATGTTCACTATATTCTTTTGTGAAACGCAGTTCAAGCTACCTGTACAATTTGGGGCCAAATTATTACCGATATCGCTTCCGGAAAAGGAAGACAAGAAGCTTAATGACGGAACGACGTGTTTCGTGACAGGCTGGAGAAACACTCTGGTAAGTTGAGATGTTTGCGATGTTAATAAAGTAAAATATTTATCTTAGCAAAAAATTAATTGCATTACTCGGAGATATTTCTAATTTTACGAATTTTATCATAATACGTACGACGTGTAATAATTTAATAGAATTAATGATCGAAGAATTGTTGTAACAATTAGATCGAATCATTCGATAATTAATTCAATCAAATGTTTATTCTATCGATTTATATTACAGCAAATGATTAAAATAGATATTTAATTTCCAATTAAATTGGATAATTTACGATCATTATTTATTATGTCATTAATTTCTTTGAATCGAAAATTATCGATTAATCGATCAAATTAAGAATTTTAATCATTGGACGATCATTATTCTTTTATATTGAACAAACGAAAATAAATGCTCGTATAAATGATGTAGTTGAATGCGATTGAAACGTGCTGCGTTTTCAACATTGTATCGCGATGCAAAATCGTAGAGAATGATCATTCGTTTTATTCGATGCTGATTATCTTTTCGTGTCATCGTACGATCATTAAAACGAAAACTCGTCCACTAAATATTCACTTTCATCTCGATATCTGATTCCATTTCCAACTTTGATACAATATCTATTGGCGAAAAATATACGTGTACACCTTTTCTGACGATCAATTTTCAATCATCGAATAAAGAAACGAGAACACACGTGAATTTCAATTTCGTTTACGCCCAGGCGATATTGAACGAATGATATTTCGTGATTTTTTTCAAAAATAATAGATCAAACAATATTTATTTCGTAATAATAAAAATGTATAAAAATTCTTTGGTTGGTTTTTTTTTCAAAAATCAACGATAGAAAGAATTTTTTAAATAATACACAAATACCTATATCATACATATACATATAGTAACGTGTAATATCTATTGTTATTGTTGACCTCTTGTTATTGTTATTCAATAGCTGTTTTGTAAGTGAACTTACATGTATGTGAATATTGCAACATTTATAACATACAATAATCAGCTTATTAATTTTCATTATAAAATTTTCATGTTTAAATCATCATAATTTATGTATATTTTATTTTCAATTCTAAATATATGTTTCTATTATTAATTATTATATATCATGTTAATTTAATATTTCTTTTGAAATTTTAATTATATTATAATTATATTTTAATTATATTTATTATATTACGTTATAATAAAAAACCATGGTATTTTATTTGTAATTATGAAAATAAATTTAGAATTTATTAAAATTTCTTTTGTCAATAATATATATATTTGTACAAAAAGATATTTATATGTTCACATTGTTTATATTTAATTCATATTTTATAGATTCTAGTTTTTTTCTTTTTTTTTTTTTTTATTAAGAAATTCTTCTTTTTTTCAATGTTTAGTCACTTTTCTAAGTTATCTAATATTACTTGTCAGAGAATATCTTCTGAAATTATGCAAGTATCGCTTTGAAACAGCTTAAAACAAAACTTGTCTCTTGCAATAATTAACTTTCTGATCGATATGTAATACATAAATAGTCTTATCACGTCTTATAATTAGTATATGTCCATACGTCGCCATTATATTATGCCATTAAGAATATTAGACATAGTTAAAATTACGGATATACAAACGAACACAAGCTGAAAAAATTGCGAAGAACAATTTTTTATTGAATTTGATTTGTTGAATCATAAACTTCTTTGTGCTATTTACTACAATAGCACTTTTAATAGTAAAGAAAATTTGTTTTTTACAATTTAAACTATTAATCCTTCATATGTGTATCCTTCAAAATCTACTTTTTTTTTTATTCTACAATGAAATTGAATCATTGTTCATTCCAAACTAATTTGATTATTGTTATAGATTTTAAAAAAATACAAAAATATTCTAGGATAATAGATATATATCTACTAGAATATACAAAATTTTTCCAATAAATAAAAATTCGAATGGAAGAAATACAAATATAAAATTTCTGTTACCCTCAAACTGAACCAGTTTGGCTACTATTTCAAGTGTTGATATATAAATTTGATCGATATATTTTTCGAGAGATCGCAACTTGCTCAAACACGATTATTTTTCTATACAGAAAATACAGAGAATTTTCAATATAACACACAGAGATGAAATTTCTTTTTTACTTTTCGTTTTCAATAGTAATATTTATTCATATTCCATAGTAATATTTAAAATATTGAAATTTGAATTTGAAATTATCTTTCACGCAATAAATCTACATTAATCATCATCAAAATAATCATAAATTTTTCACCCCTTTTTTCACTTCGTATCATTTCTACGAGAGATCATTCGTCTTCCAATCAATTTTACGAATTTTCAATTATCAACGATTTCCAGGTCGGTCCAGTGGAACCTCAACTCACGGTGACAGCAGTGCCCCTCGTGAACCAGAGTACCTGCAGCTCGGCGATGCCCTGTTACGAGCCCGTGCTCCAGAGGATGCTCTGCGCCGGCAACATGACCCAGGGGGTAGAGACGTGTCAGGTAAGATAGAGAGTCGAGAATACGTGGCCTAGAACTATATAGGTCCAAAGGAAGAGACGTCTAGAGGATGGGATAGTTGCGTGGATTCGCGAGCCGCGACAACCCTGCGATACTTAAGCATCTTGAAGCGTCTGTTCAGAAGATCCCTCGACTTTCTCGTGCGCGACGCCACTCGACATCTGTGTCTGTGTGTCGATGACATGCTTCTAGACTCTTATGTGTGTGTATGTGCCTGCACGTACGACCGTGTTCGTGTGTGTGTGTGTGTGGGTGCACGGATGCTTGGAAAGCATCGCAGTGTCAGGCACAACCGTTTCAGGGAACAATAGCCGAGTCCCCAAAAACGCGGCGCCAAACGCTGTGCGTATGGCATGTAAATGAGAAGTTCCGCGAGTTGAAGGCTGGTTTGGCAGGTCGGCCGGTAAGGAAGACGGATGACTCTGTTTTGGCGATCATTGTTTGCTGTGCAATTAGGGGATCGAACGGGGCGGCATGACTGCGTGGCATGGATGATCGAGTGGATGCTTTAGGGAAACTTGGGCTAATTGTTCGGTGAAGAGGATGGATTTTTTGTTAAGCGAATCGTGCAAGTTTATTTACACACCGACGATACTCATAAAAGATGGAGAGAAAGGTGTTGAATGATGCGTAGGATGAAGAATTATATATTCGAAGGTTTTCAAGTTCTGACGATGAGTTAAGAAGTTTGGTTAAGTAGTTTTAACACGGAAGAAGAGTTTTGGAAAGTTGTTGAAATGCAAATTACGCTTCGTCTGTTAAATTGCTGTTCCTTTTTTAACACATTGTGATGTATTATTGAAATTCAGAGGCAAGTAATATTTACGTATATACACGTATATCGGATAATTTATATCGTAAGTCACAGATTTTGAAAGAGATCGTGTCATCAAGATGGTGTTTATTTCACGATTAAAAATGATCGAAATAAAATCTGATGTAAAATTTAACGTTATTTGTTATAAAAGATCTTTTTTAAAAGATCACTTCGCTTATATCGTATATTCATATTAGATTGCATATTCACGAAATTATCATGAATATAAGTTTATTTATTAATTTTTTTTTTTAAAGATCACTTTACTTATCGTATATTCATATTAGAGAGATTGCATATTCATCAAATTATCATAAAAATGAAACTCTACGAGTAATGTTACGAATACAGGTGGCACAACAAAGCTTAATTTATTCTCCAATTTATATTTCATACATATTCGTTCAATATCAAAACACTGAAATTTCTTGGACATTTCCATTGAGATTATTTATCGCTCATTAACACGCATTTGTTTGATCCTTCGATTCGATTTCGTTTTGCCAAAAATTTCCCTCTTTATTTTCAACACTTTTCGACGATGCGTCGGTATAATATAAATTTCAATTGCCACACACTGTAGAAACGTACAAAAGTAAATTGATGTCTCATTATTGCCATTCTGATTGCCTTTTGCCGCGCTTCTACGCTCGTATAATTAAGCGGCAATTCGACGTCTGTCAAGGCGTATACGCGACTAATTTAAGCGTCGATTGAATCAAGCCGTTGATTAATGAAACGCACTCAATTTTAACGAGGTTTGAACCGAGCTTAAAGATAATGTTGGACAGATAAATCCAGGGATCGCTTTTGAACGATTCGGATAGAATTCGAAAAGGTTGGATAAGCCGGATGATCGAGATTGGAAATTTATAGAATTGCTAATTAGCGGGTGAAATGGCAAATTCACTGTATGCACAAGCTGCAAGATAAATAATTTTAGGGATTCGTTTCGGATTCGTGGTTTTGAAAATCTTTGAAGCGTGTGATTAATATGTATGCCATATTTTGTTGATATTTCATTATATTAGCATTAATACTGTTTGTTTGGTTTTTCAATTATGATAATCAAGCAAAAGTAAGTTATTCTTATTATCACGTTATTTCACAAACTTGTGTTTCATATAAATTTATATCTTATTTATTTAATATAAAAAAAACGTTTTTAATAAAATATTTAATAATTTGGATGTTTTGCATAATACAATGTATTATTTTTATCCTTGGATATAACATATGGAGATCATTTGAAGGCTACGTTCGTTGTTTTTTTCAATGTAAAAAAATGTGGTATACTTTGTAAAAAATTACGAAACAATTTATAATCAAAAATTATTAAAACGTTATTTAATTATCTTCTATTTCTTTCTCGACATATTCTATAAAAAAAATATATATATTGGACGAAAATATAAGTCGAAGAATGCATTTACTCTTATGTATTAAAAAATACATAACTTTGTTTGATAAATCAAAATTGATCTATGTAAGATCTTTATGCATTTATGTATGAAAAAATGATTATGTCATATTCTTTATAAAAATCATTGTTTGAAATATTTTTTAATATTTCCAAAATCAAAAAAGATATTTTCCAGGTGATGAAGTTACGTGGAATATCCGGTATATCTATGTAATTTTTCATAATGTAAGTAATATATTATAAGGAATTTGTGAGATATTTCTTTGTCGAAATAGATTATTCTTGACACAGTACACGGAAACAAGAAATTTATTTCGAACATTTTGAATAGACGCCACAATATTTTACGAATGGTAAATCAACAGAAACGATATCTTGAATGTTTAACATAAAAAAGATATGTTCTGAAATAGATATGATGTGAACAATTTTTCTAAATCCATCTGTTTCTGAAACATTTCGTAAAATATGTTTTCAATCTTTTTCTTTGAGAACTATCTTCACCCTTTAGACGAGGATGAACGATTTTCGATAAAAAAGATAAGTAAATATTTCTTCAAATTTTCAATTTCTAAGATGCATTATCTCAAGATACTCAAAACATTCTAAAAACATTCTATTTCTAATTTTTAAAAATTCCAATCAAAAATATTGAAAAATAAAAATTCTTTTCCATTCCTTTACTTTCCTCGTAATTCCTGAAATTCCAAAGGAATTGGCAAAGATTTTCGAGGATATCCAATTAATCAATAAATGCAATTGACAACACGATAAACACGACCATCAATGCCGATATTTGAAATTCATCCCATTTTTTGACAGAATCGTCGCGCTAAGCACAAAAGATGCGTTCGCGTATATAAGCAACGCTTGAATACGGTCGGTTGAATGGGAACTGAACATTATTCACCGAGTATAATAGAAAATTGTCATAAAGTACCAAGATTTTTATACGCTCCATCGTTATAACAATAATAATAAAATTCGTTGGGATCGTACAAAGAGCGATATCTTTCGGTCGGCTCTCTACAACTGCCAATCGATTCCATATCCTTTTCTTCTTTCTTTTTCTTTTTTTATCTCTTTCTCTCTCTCTTTTCCCTCCCTTTCTCTCGTTCTTTCTACGACAACACTTCACTAAACGTACAATTTCATCAAGATTATATAATTTGTCTTGAAAACAGATAGACAATTTTTGAAATATTTGGTTTTTTGAACGCGAACACGATTTAAACGGAGCAAACTAATTGGACTTTTTGATTCGTTTTTCGATGACTGTTTTTTCGCTCCTTGTTTCGCAGGTTATTGACGAATGCTGTATGTACAGACAGATGGTAATGATAGATTTTCCAATTCAGAAACGATTCAGTATCATTATTTATGAGTTAAAGAGCAATTGTTTTATTTTCATTCTTTGGCAATTTTTCATTTTCTATTTGAAACACCTTTTTGTCGTATTATACACCATTTTCAAGTAAAATTTTATTACTATTTGCATTTGTTCATCGATAGAATAGTAATAAGTTACCCGATTAATCGAATTCGTTTTTACAAATATATATATATGTGCACATTATATAAAATTCTATTATTCCATTTATATAATTTCCGTCATATTATCAACATTTTTTATCTTATGATATTTTTTATTGCATAAAAAAATCTTTCCTTCATAAAAAACAAAAATCTCATTAACCCGATAAACATTTCCGCTAAATGATAATACATACAAGTTTCATTTTAACCACGCCAGAATATATTTCCTTATAATATAATAACCAATCCAATAATTAGTTTGTGCTCTATGAATATTTAAATCGTACGAAACTCAGAGGTGGATAAAATCATAAAAGTGTACACGAGGAAGCAAAAGAACGAGAGAGACGAATAGACGCGTAGAACGCGCGAGAAAGAGATAGGGCAGAGTACAAGTAATCACTGAAACTGTCAACCCTTGTCTGCTTGCAGGGTGATCCAGGTGCTCCGCTGATGGAAGGGCAGACTCTGATTGGCGTTCTATCCTATGGATTAGGGTGTAAAACTATGATACATCCGGGCGTATACACTCGTGTCAGCAGTTACCTAGCGTGGATCTCGGCAAATTCCGGTATCCACTATATATAAGATGATATTCGCGAAACGCTACAATGTCAACATTGCTTTACCAGAAACACGTGGTATGATCAAAGCCTCTTATAGTTTTAAAGGGGTGAGGGATGTGAGATGAAATTTTTTCTTGTTTCCATCTCGTCATTGTAAATCTGAAATTGAGATTGACTAAGCTCTTCTTCCTTAACTGCAATATCATCATCGTACATTTGCATTGTGGAGTCAGAAAATAGTCTGAGGAAAATAGTGGTTAAAAATGGTATTTTTTTCTTTTTTAATAATAATTTTAACATTAGAAAAATGAAGAATAAAAATTCTATTCTATTCGCATTGTATTGTACCAGTGTGAGACAAGGATTATTTTTTTTTATTATCCAAATAATATGATACAATTGAATTCCCATTATTATATCTCGAAATTCCGATGATCACACTTTTTCTGGCACTTCTTTGTATTAAATTTAATTAAATTGTTCATACTATTTGCAATAAAAAGTGAATTTGTTTTCAATCATTCTGGTAAAAAAAAATTGCAATTGAATTTTGAAATAAAAATTAACTTTAGTTCTGATCTCAGATACACAAATATCAAAGCGTTGTCACTCTGTAAATGTGACCGTTACAAAAGAGTTTCATGAAAATGTATACTACACTTCCTCTCTTTCTTCATGAATGATTCTTTTCCTATCCCCATTTTATACAAATGTACGGTTTCATTTCGTTGAACGGAATACGAGTTTCGAAGTTGCCAGTGAAAGGGGAAATTTTGAGAAATTTCTCCATCTTTCATGCATTTTCGTTTCATTGAGCCCGAATATATCTGTACGCAATAGAAGAGGAATAATTTCGTTCGAATTTTAAGCGAAATGTAGTATCTATTTTTTCTTTTTTTTTTTTTCTTCGAAAGCGCGATAAATTACCGACATCTGTTACACGAGCTATTTATAAATCGCGAATTAAAGCTGGGAAATATCTATCGATCGTCGAGCAAACTAATTAGCGGTTTTCATCGAGTACCTTGTAACGAACACCAAAGTTCCATAAAACGGAGAAATGGTCCACCTGTTCGTTGTTTTCACGTTCTAGCAACTCGTTCATTATCAAACTGATAGTATTTTCATGCTGATCAGAACTAAAGTATGCACAAAATAGGGGATACTTTCAATGAGAGACAATCGATTTCAATTATAGATACGTATATGAAATTTATAAATAAACTCAAAATATCTTTGTTCTTCGGATTATTTTAAATAAAAAAATTTGAAAGTTATTTTTTGCAAATAATTTTTACTCCAAATGTAACATTAATGTTAACGATGATAATAAGTTGCTCTTGAAAATTTTACTTTCAAATATACGAAATAAATGTATTTAATAATATGTATTTTATTCCCTGTCTCAACTTCAAAATTTTTCTCATGATTCATTTCTTTCACGAAAGAGAATTTCAAACGTGAAAATTCGAAGATTATAACAGCATTATTATTTTTTCTCTTGTACAAAAACTCGTACAAATCAAGTCGTATTAACGATTATATGTAAAAAATTGAAGAAGAGTTTAAATAATTGATTCGTGAAAACGACCATTTACCGTCGAGCAATTTGTGATTCGTGGTGATATAATTACGTGGTACAAAAATATAATATAATATTTCAATGTGTCGAGGTCACATCCCGCCATAGCGAAAAACCAACCACGATCCCGGGGGTTTTTCGTGAAACCCGAGCAACTCTCTTCGCAAACAAAGAAGATGACGAGAGTAAAGTAACGAGGCGAAATGTTTGCAGGAAAAATTTCCGAGTTCGTAGCTGGTTCAATAACGTTTCGTGCTCGCGCATAGGATAAACACAAAACGCTCACAGACCAGTTTTCTCAGTAATCCAACTTCGGAGAACTGTCACACGCGTGTAAACGCCTGGATAAGATGGCCGCGCGCAACCGAATCCCCACGAAACAATTCCGATCAGTTTGTCATGTTGCACCAATGGACCGCCGCTGTCCCCCTGAAATCATACGATTTTATCGAGAAGCAAATGATAATTGTTTAATGCTATTTTTTTTTTTTTTTAAGAGGAGGAAAAAGTGATATCCAGTTTTATCTTTCCATCTACACGATCTCGAATTGTAATCGAATTAAATTACACTGATGATTATTTGCAAGAAGGTATCTCTGATCATCTTGATGACTTAATAATATGATATCGATATTATCATCTTGAGTTATAAAAATTTTAATATCGTCGTTTATTGAGAAATCAAAATTTTAAAAATTAATTTCTTATCATTCAATCATTAACGGTTTAATTAGATTTATTGATATTGATAGCCTCACGGATTAAGAAAATTAATCCAAACTTAATGTATATTTAAGTGAGTTAATAGTTAAATGAGCTTTTATTTAATTTCGATTTTAGGTGAAATTAAACTTAAAGAATTAACATAAATTAATTAATATGGAACAAAAGTGTATTTAATTTCTTTATTTATTTAGTTTCGTGGTTTATATTATCTAACCTAATCTATCTAAATTGTTTTTGTTAATAACTTTTTAATAAACAAGGATCACTAAGTAAAATCTTCACAATATCATTCAATATATTGATCTTGAAAACACATTAAAAAGTCATCGAAATTGGATAGTGATATCTTTTTGTAAATATTTATATCTTTATATTAATTATTTTCTGAGGTTATTATAATAGAATTTTTTATTTCTTGCGAATTTTATATAAGTGGAATATTCAAATGATAAAATATGAACGTTGACGTTAATCTAATTGCTGAAGTCTCGTTTTAATGATCTCTTCGTTATTTCAGTTCTTTATTAATTATTTCTTAATTATTTTTATCAAGGTCGATTAAAATGGAACATCTATATATGTTGAGATTCTACATTGCTTAATCATACAGTCCTTGAGTTTTTAATAAAACCTTTGCTTCTTCTTACTTGTATATTAAAAAATATAAATTCGTATTAAAATTAAATCTTAAATTAAGCTGTAGAATTTAAAATTAAATATGACATTATGTAAAAAATTAAGTACATATATACATACTTTTATAGTTACTATTTACTTTTTTCTATTGATTTTTTCTTTATCTACTCATTTACTTATCTTTATTATCAATTTATCTCTTTCATTTTGGATCGATCGATTAAATTTCTAATTACCCAATATATTTATCTAATTTTATCGAAAATCCAGAGGCAAAACATTATCGATCTAATCGTGATATTAAAAAGTAATTAATGTTCCACGTGCCGAGAGATGATTAACGATACGCTTTTGATTACCTGACACGAATCCTTGCCACCGACATTCACGTAACCGGCGCAAATCATCCTCGGTGTGATCCTTCTGTTCATGTACAATCGAGAACATTGGACGTTAGAAACGAGTGGTATTTGGACTTTGCGTAATTTTGTCGATAATGGACCGTTGCTTCTCAAAGCTCCCCAACCTGTAACCACCGCCTTGCTACCAGCCATGTAATGATCGGCTATCGGCGCCAATAAAATTGGTTCTACTCGCGAATTGTACACCAATGGCTTTCTTAACTGAAATTGTAGTTGGTTGGTTTATGAACAGTGTTAATTGTTGAATTTAATTCACTTTAAATTTATTCCATTGATGAAATTATATTTCACGATTAATTGATATTCTCAGCATTGCTACTTCGTTTAAATTAGTGATACAATGTGTGTATTTTTTGATTTTTGATAGAGTACGCTATAAAAATTATTTTTTTTTTACATTAGATTCTATACTTTATTTTTATAATATCATTTTTGTAATTATATATAAGACACGAATAATTCAATTAATCGCAAATTGAATGTGTTATGATAAATTTAATTGATGTACAAACTATTTTTTGCAACCATTGTACCTTAATTATATAAATAAAAGAAGATGAGAACGTTTTAAAAAATAATACATAGTATTGAAAAATTATCGAAGGAAAATAAAAAAACATCAAATTACAAAAACAACGATACAATTTCATGATCTATCTTTCCATCTAAAAATCTATAAAATAAACGCGAAAATAAAAAATGAAAAATATGTTCAGGCAAATAATACTCACTTTAATCAAAGCAATGTCAAAATCCGAGCTTTTTCTCTCATACCTCTCATGAATGATAATTTCTGCCGCGTTGATTACTGTGGCATTGGTGTCGGTGAGGTCGGAAGTACCTACCTTGATCGAAACGGATCGAACAAAGAAGCTGAAATCATCGAAGGAATGCTCATTAAGGAGGGTCTTGTGCGAATAGTGCTCGAGCACCATGACGAGATCGATGGTGCTTGTTAACGAAATTGAGAACAAAAGAGTGCATACCTCTGGACACAGTGTGCAGCTGTGACGATCCATAGCTCGCTAATGATAGAGCCACCGCATACGTGACGATTGTGAAATCGAAGGGATACCTATAAATTTTAGCAAGCGTGTATCAATTTTGCGGATGATCGGTCTGGAAATGGCTGTGAAACTCACTCATGGAGAAATATGCACGAGGAACTCAGGTAATATTAATATTTTTCCAATCCTCGATCCTGATCAGGAAATTATATCTGTATTTACATTGGGTTGTTCTTTTTTTTTTTTTTTGAAATCATCTAAATTTCTGGGATTTCAAAAAGATGCGAATAAAATTTCAATTGGATTAATAAATTTTAATAATCTTGCAATTATATATAACTTCTTCGTTATTCTTACTAGAATATTTTTGCAAGTTTTTTTGTAAATATGAAACAGCAAGTCGATAAATTTTTCTAGAGTTTTTGAAAAATATTAATATACGATTCGATAGGTCAAAAGAATAAAATGGGAAGCAATTTAAAATTGAGATTTATTTGAAGAATTCTTTCATCAATAATGTTTTGCATATATAATTTTTTAGAAAAAGAAAGAAATATTTAAATATGAAGTTTTGCTGTTGAGAAAAAACTTTGAAAATTCATCACATATGTATACTTGCTATATTTTTATTCTTTTATATTTTCTGTCAATATTGTCTTTTTATCTATAGATTACCATTATTATTATATTATCAATATAATTATTGCACATGTGTAGATATAAGATCGTTTAATTTGATTTACTAAAATTTATTCTTTATTTTTACCATCCTAATTGGAATATTTTGTATATAAAATTTAATTTCTCAAGTAATGCTAACTAAGAAAAAAAAAATGTGTGCAGAAAATATGTTGAAGAGAGAAATTTAAGATGGATTTGAGATAATGCGAAAAAGAAACGAGAGAAAGAGATTGATAGATCTTTTTCTTTGGCCAAGGAACGTAAACTGAACGGAAACTTTGGTCGATCGTTGTACACGAGAGTACATCGGTTTTTAATGACTTGTTTTGGCGCAAGCCGCGAAAGAAACGTTTCTGCTCGACAGATTTTCACCAATTAATCTTGGCCAATTGTGAAAACGATCATTTAGAATACTTACCTGGTACGGATGTTCATTGATACTCGCTGGCTGCCCTCCAACAATACGACCCTCGTCAACTGGAAAAAAAACCAATAGTTGAATTTGCGTTTCCATCTGTATGCTCGTTGAAAAAATTACTAATTAAATTGTGACGTCGTTCGATGAATTTCGACGGAATTTAAGAACCTTCTTTTTTAAATCGAGAACTTATTGAACAATCGAGAAAGAGAAAATTGCACTCTGATGAAAATATCCAATACTTGGCTTGGCTTTAACAAGTCAAAAATTGAGCGAATGAGAATTCAGAAAGTAATATTTTAGCGGAAAAATATTAATAGATTAGTTGTAAATGTAAATAAAAAATTTATTTATTATTTAGCTCATAATCGCAAAATACGATTTCATTAAAAAAAAAGAATAAATATAAAGAGTTTTTTTTAAAGATAAATACTATATTAATATATTATCACGTTGCAATATTTAAAATAATTTAATAATTTTTTTCATTCAAAATAATATTTTACTTAAAAAGATTAGGATAATCTACATTTTTCTTTAACAAGAAAAGGAAATATATTTAATGAAAAAGAAACTGTATAATTCATATTAGCATCAACAAATTTACAAATTATTTAGAGTATCGAAAAAATTACGGATATACTAAACTTGTACCTCTTTTCATTTACCTCTAACTTGTTTTCTAAGTACAAGCAAAAAGAGCATGAACACGCGACAAGTTAAAAATTTAATAATATTTTCCGCCTCAAATATTTCAAGCGTTCAAAGTGTTCTCGTTGAATTATTTCGCTGTACGGAGACCAATCGTGAATACTTACGATCTGTGGTGAAAAAAATTTGCGAGAGCGCGAGTGGAACGAGCTGCAACAACAGTAACGGCGTATACATGGCGGGAACTTGGCCAAAGAACTACCTGGCCGCCATCGGGCTCGCCCTTCTTTTATTTCGATATTCGGGTTAATTGTCGTTCGTATCAATTTAACCGAATATGAAAAAAATTTCCGAAAGTTTCGAATTGTTGACCTAGATTTCCCATCGATTACACAAAAGCGGCAAGACTAAAATAAAAATTCAACGCCATTAATATCATTCTTTTCGATACGAACCAATTAAGCGAAATTTCTTAATGGTTCCTTCGAGATTTTTGTAAGAAGCAAGAAACGTATGTCTCATCGAGAAGAACAAAAAGGTTTCATGATATTTTAATAGATTTATTGATCATGTAAAATTAATAATTTTTGTGACGAAGTGTGATGATTTTGTTTCTCATTTTACCATGGCTTCTTTGTTAATTGAAAGCTGAGATTAATCTATTTTTTATATAAAACGTTATTAATATCGAAACATTCGTTCGATATATATGGGAAATAAAAATTGGTATTAAGAGTAATTTTAAAAGTATAATTTTAAATAATTCTCGAAACCTTTTAATCTATCAACGATGAGTTGATAATTGATAATAAACATAACTGTTTTATTCGAGACACGTTTCTTAAATCTTAAACATTTTAAAATTAAGTTATAAAGTTCTAAGAAATATATAATTGTATACTATTACCATGCTAAAAAGGAAATATTTCTAGATATTAAATTAGTTTCGATGGATTTCATTTTATCAAATTTAATCATTATTTATAAAACGAAATTGTACTTACTTCATTTTTTCTTTACTACACCCTCAATATAGTTAATGCCTTTTCCAGACATAAATATATATCCATCAGGTCCAACTGACTCTCATGCCACGAGTAACAACAGCAATTCAACTCTCGTTTAAGAATCTTGCCTTCTAAAAACTGGTCCGTAGGATTGAAAAGAAAATTCAAAATACAAATAACGTATCGAATAATCATTAGGCAAGTTCGACGTGCACACGATATAGAAACTGGTGAATCGACAGGCAACGACAGACTGCCGTTGATAGAATATCGATTGTTCAAGGAGCATGACGCCCATTGCATACCGGATTTAATATAATTCTTACGAATGCGTAACTATAATCGGGGGTAAACTCTCCCTCTGTTGGAATCATGGCCTCTCCACCTCTTTTTACGAGATGAAGACGCCGATCAACAATGGCGACGCTCGTTTCCTTTACGAGTTAGCCACCTGTGCAAAGCTACAAAACCGTTTATACAACGGTACAATGACGAAAGAGCCGAAGCACGTCCCACTTGGCCGTAAAATTAATAATTTTCGATAAGGAACGATCTCGTATACTCGAGATAAGGTGAAAACTTGTACAGATTGTTCGCTTAAGAGCAATGTTTTTGATTGGATTCCTTGTCTAAGGTTCAAATAATTCTTATAATTCATGGAACAGATTATTTAGCAATAAAAGATTTTTGGATCTAAATTGTTATAAGGTATTATTAAGAAAAATTTCTTTCAAAAAAAATTGTAATTAGAGAAAAAAATATTGCACAATGGATATATATTAGATCTAGGAAAATTGATCTATAATTAATCTATGTATAATAAATTTCATTATTCACGTAATTCACGATGATATCATTTATATTTATTTTTTAAAAAATATATTGGAGAAAATTATTTTGTTCATGTTCGATTGTAC